TTTTTTTTCTTTCTTTTTTCTTTCCTCCTCTTTTCTTTTTTCTTTCTTTTTCTCCTTTTTTTTTTTTAAATACCAACAAAAATAAACAAATTTGATTTGATTTTGATAAGCAAAAACAATAATAAAATTAATAAAAGAAAACAAGAAAAAATATTATGACAATAAAAGTAAAAGCAAAAATTAAACTAAAATTAATTAATAAAAACAATTAATTAAATAAATTGATTAAGTTACTCAATAACGTTTCCTACAATCATAAAAAACGTGCAAACGTGCGAGATAGAAAAAAAAAAAACAATAAAACAACTCTATTCTATAAGATATAATTAACCTGTTATATCCCCACCGACCAACGACAATCGACTTTTGGACGAGATATTAAGATCCGAAAACTGTTTAATTAGTATCGTAGAGCCATCATTCTTAGCAAATATTCGACCATCAGAAGACCAACAGTTTCTCTTCCCGAACTTCGATGCAGGGCAACCTCAGAGACACTTCGAAATCCTCAAGGACCCATGTCTAAATCACCTGATTGAAATTAAAACGGACCTTATACCGTTAGAATACAATTTCCAGCCGTACAAGGTCATATTTAGAAGCAGGGATGATTGGGTGAAAGGTACACCGATGCTTCAAAGACAGTTAGTTCCGGAGTAGGTACGGGCATCAGTGGACCAAATAGCCACATTAAACTGCCCCTCAGCTCGAACATAACAATTTTCCAAGCAGAAGTTCTTGCTATAAACTTCTGCACCGCTTTGANTGTTTTAAATAAAATTTGTTTCAATTTCGATTTTGAATCAATTATCTTAATAAAAAATTTTTACATCTCTATTAATTAACCATCTAAGTATTATTATGTATAAAAACGGAAAAATTATTATTTAGTGGTTATCTCCTTAATTATTGATTAAATCAAAAAAAAACTTTGATTTGTCTAGTGCGTTTGATACTCTACATCACCAACTACTCTTAGAAAAATTGAGTCGATATGGTATTCGAGGCCCAGCCTTAGCGTGGATTCAACAGCAGCTGGTAAAGTGGTCAAAGAATAATAGTACTATCTACTCGTCTCTCCTCCCAGTGCAATATGGACTCCCTCAGGGGAGCATATTGGGGTCGTTGCTTTTCATTTTGTACATAAACGATGTCTCTTTATCTTGTGCAGATTGTACACAGGTTTTATTTGCCTACGATCGTTCATATATCAAAGTACCCTTAAAATTCACTAAAGAATCACCCCTTGAAGTTTGTTGCAGTCATTCAGATACACCCTGTATACCGTAAATTGATTTCCATGTAACGAATGTTTAAAAAATTTGATAGCAGAGTAGATCGCTAATAGTTCTCTATCAAAAGTTGAATATTTGGTTTGGCATGAAGTAATTTTTTGGAAAAGAATGCTAATGGTTGAGATTTTCCACTGCTGGTTTGTGTTAAAACAGCTCCCATACCTGTGTTAGATGCATCAGTTGATAATGATAGAGTAGCATGTGAAGAGGGGTGTCCTAGAAAGATAGATTTTGACTGAAGAAAAAGCGTTGTCGTGTTGCAGTGTCCAAGAAGTTGATGAAATTGTTTTTTGTTTTTGATAGTGTCTATAAGGGATCAAGAATATTTGAAATGTTAGGTAAGAATCTATGGTAGAAGTTTAACATTCCTAAAAATCTTTGTAACTCTTTTAGAGTTATTGGCTTTGGAAAATGTGTTATGGCTGTGATTCTTAATTGGGGTGGTCGAATGCCATCGGCTCAAATATGATGACTAAGAAAATCCAATGATCTTCTGATTATTCCTCCATATACATATGGCTCTTGGATCAACGCAACATGTATGTTGTAGTTCTTTAAATACAATGCATCCTCGGTGTAGTTCGTTTGACGATTTTCTCCACAATTTAACCGGATTTTCTTTGGCTTTAGTGCATTCGCTGGTCCAGTGAGTCTCCAACCTTGAAACCTTTTGCACTGGGGCATTTGTTTTGGCTTTCTGTACTCTTCGATTTTGACACGCATTCTTTTTACATCTTCTGATGGTGCAAAATCTAAGATCCAAGAACATTTAGGTTACTTTACAAATGCTTTACAAATACTTCACAGCTTTTTTGCATCTTTTTAGCTGTCACTTTCAGATTTCTGGTTTGATGGACAATTTAGATGGCAAGGTTTTACATTCTTTTGTATCTTTTAGCTTCTTTATTATAATTGTTTTATTATTTATTATATTTGTTTCTTTATGTCAAAAATAAAGAAAGACTTAATTTTAGCAAGATAATCTTTATTTTTAAAACAATTAACTTAATTTAATTAGAATTGATTTGCTAATTTCTTCGTTCATGTTATTTCAAAATTTTTAACCTTATCTTGTCTGTTTATTTACGTTTTAAAGTTAACAAAACGTAATAATCTCAATTAAAAGCGATTTGCNGTAGGTATGGGCATCAGTGGACCAAATAGCCACATTAAACTGCCCCTCAGCTCGAACATAACAATTTTCCAAGCAGAAGTTCTTGCTATAAACTTCTGCACCGCTTTGAACCTACAGAAGGGACAGAAAGGTGCATCCATAAACATTTTCACAGACCGCCTTAAAGGCAACTCAGGCCTACACGTGTGAATCCGCACTGATCAGAGAGTGTACCAGCAACCTGAGAGAACTCGCTATGGGCAATGATGTTACCCTATGATGGGTTCCAGGTCAAAGCAACATTGAAGGCAATGAGAAGGCGGACAAGCTGGCCAAAGAGGCAGCGAACACGCCCTTCATTAGACCCCAACCTGACTGTGGACTACAAAAAAAACCATCTAAAACCGGGTCACAGACAAGTGAAGAGTATGATAAGTCTCGCAAAACAAAACCAAAGAGGTTGTATACCTCAGCAAAGGGGATATAAGGGCGCTCTCAGGTTACCTCTTAAAATACCACCTCTTCCACATTGGACAAGCTGTGGATCAAACTTGTCGACTTTTCAACGACGAATCAGAAACAGCTAGACACAACATTTTCGGTAAAACTCTCTTGACACCCTATCGACATAAAGGTTCGAGGCCTCGGGGCAATACTAAGGTTCATCAAGGACCTACATTTGCCCTAAACCCTTGGAGGGCTAAAGTTACAATAGATCTTATAGGTCGCAATAATAATAAATGCAGCTTGGAGCGTTTTTGATCTAACACAATGTATAAATACATGGGAAGTATTTCTATCGTCTATTTAGGCAGATGTTTCTGATTTCTTTACGTTTAATATATAAAGTTCTTTCTTTCTTACACATGATATATTATTCTGCTCATTACTTTGAATTATGCTAGGAACACTGTTTAACATAGTTGTGGGACTGTTTGATGTAAAAGTTACTATTTCCAATTGGAGGTGTATGTGTTTTTGGAACTTTATGCTTTCTTGTTGGTTTTCACAGAGAATAATCAGTACTGGTATGGTCAGTGGCTATCTGTTAATGCTCTTAATTCCGCTGTTATTTCATTTAATTTGGTTTTGTAACTAGCAGTTCTATTGTTTTGCCATTTCTTTCTCACTCTCCGTTTTTCTGTAATTTTGTCTCTAATGAATTTAGGATATATTTATATTAGATTTAGATTTAGCAATAAATCCAAAATCTATAAAGAAAAAGGCTCTTTTGTATTGTGTTCTAACATTTGGGTTACTTTACAAATGCGTTCCAAGTTCATCTTTGCTAGCTTTTATGCATCTTTTTAGCTACCACTTTCAGATTTCTGGTTTGCTTTACAGTTTAGATGGCGAGGTTTTACGTTCTTTTTGTATCTTTTAGCTTCTTTATTATAATTGTTTTATTATTTATTATATTTGTTTCTTTATGTCAAAAATAAAGAAAGACTTAATTTTAGCAAGATAATCTTTATTTTTAAAACAATTAACTTAATTTAATTAGAATTGATTTGCTAATTTCTTCGTTCATGTTATTTCAAAATTTTTAACCTTATCTTGTCTGTTTATTTACGTTTTAAAGTTAACAAAACGTAATAATCTCAATTAAAAGCGATTTGCAATCATCGCAACGCAATAATATAATAATAAAATCAAATTGTAATTTCGCAAATCCTCTTCGGCGCCAAAACCGGAAGCGAAATCGCGTAAAGATTGCGTCAGATATCGAATCGCACTTCTTTCTTCTCTTTATTTTTCGTGTGCGAGTCCGAAGGTTTTGCTTTGCTCCCCATTGAAGCAACAAACGCTCTTCGAGAGCCGATCGAAACGGATCGAAACGAGACGCCAAGGCGAATTAAAATCATTGCTCGAAGTGAAAATCCACTCTCTTTTGAATTTCAACGCAAACGAGAAGATTTCTGTGGAAATAAATGGCTTTTTTAAAAGGAATTTGGAAAGCGAATCCCTCAAAACATCAAAGTGAGTTAATTTTATTAACGATTTTTTTTAAGTTTGTTTTTAAGCTGGTTTTAAGTGGAAATATTTTTTTAACTTTCTAATCTTAACATGCAGTTTTATTGCGTCACGTTTTTTAATTGGTCAATTTTGGATTTTTTGTTGTTGTTGTCTTTTAATGTTGTTCTGATGCAATAAAGACACTTTATTATTAAGAACGACTAAAAACAGATTGTTTATAAAAGCTGTGATTAAACATTATAAAGGTCACGAGAGACAAAACCGATAACAAAATCAAAAATAATAATTATTTATATGTTGGCATTTATGTTAACATTTTTTAATAAAAACGATAATTATCGAGATAATTAATTTTGATAGCATACTATTCAGAGGGAAATTAAAATTTCAAGTTAGCAAAAAATTGTATTAACAAACACTGTTCCTGAAGTAATTCTAAACAAATTTTGTTAACAACATTTTTTGATTAAATCAACAATAAGGATATAACCTCAAAAATATTAATTTTTGTACCATACTGTTCAGTGGGAAATTAAAATTTCAAGATAGAAAAAAGTTGTGTTAACAAAAATTGTCCTGAAACAATTCTAAACAAACTTTGTCAATATTTTTTTTTGATTTAATCAATAATTAAGAAGATAACCTCAAAATAATAATTTTTCCTTTTTTATACATAATTGTACTTAGATGCTTAATCAATAGAGATATAATTTTTTTTTATTAAGATTAATTAATTTTGATAGCATACTATTCAGAGGGAAATTAAAATTTCAAGTTAGCAAAAAATTGTATTAACAAACACTGTTCCTGACGTAATTCTAAATAAATTTTGTTAACAACATTTTTTGATTAAATCAACAATAAGGATATAACCTCAAGAATATTAATTTTTGTACCATACTGTATAAGTGGGAAATTAAAATTTCAAGTTAGAAAAAAGTTGTGTTAACAAAAATTGTTCCTGAAACAATTCTAAACAAACTTTGCCAACATTTTTTTTTGATTTAATCAATAATTAGGAAGATAACCTCAAAATAATAATTTTTCGTTTTAATTATTTGACGTTGGCATTCTGAAATCACCATAATCCGTCAAATTTGACGTTTCAATTAAAAAAAAATTCTTTATTTTAGAATTATCAGAAGAATTAGCCCTACAACAAACGAAAGATGAAGATAATCGTTCAGAAACAATCAGCGAAAACGATTTGGTTACTTTCAAACTAAAATATTTAGGATCATACTCATTAAACGAATGTTTAACCGACAATAAACCCCAAGAAGCAGTCAAAAACGTATTAAAATCGTTAAAATCGCAAAAAAGGAAACCGGAAACGGTCGATCTTACGATATCACCGAAAGGAATTGTAATCCACGATTCTAAAGGTGACGAAATTTTAACGATTTCGATTTATAAAATTTCAAATTGTTGTACGGATCGTTTAAATCCGAGGATATTTTCGTTTTCCGCGACTACGAATTCGAATAAAAACGAATTAAAACACGAGGAAGATCGTGTGGAATGTTACGTGTTTTGTTGCGGAAAAAGAAAATTAACTGAAAATGTTGCTTTATCGATAGCCAAAGCGTTTACGAATGCTTTTGAAGAGTGGAGGATTTTACCTACGACGAAACAGTTTCAAAATGCGATGGAAAGTAATTATAAAAATGAAGTTAACGATAAAAATAAACTTGAACAATTTGAGGAGGAGCAATTAATTCGATTTGAAGATGAAGATTTGTTCTTTGAGGATATAAGATCTGCGAGGAATGATAAAATTCAACGTGAATGGGTAAATAAATTCTTTAATAATTATTAAAGTGTTAATTAGGTTTCTTTTTAGGTTTGTTTTGAAGATGAAAGTGCTTTTAAACGTTATTGATTTTAATTTAATTATTATTTTAAGTTAATTATTTCATCATTTTTTCTTATTAACATCAAAATACCTTAATTTTAATTCCAGGCGAGTTCTACTTCATTTTAGTTTAAATTAAGGTTAATTTAGTTTACTTAAAATGTACAGAATAAATAGGTTATATTATTATAATCTTTTTCCAATTCGAATTTCAACCAGGCTTTAGTTCCCTCTCTTCACTCTTTGTTTAAATTTAAAGGGCAATCAATGAAACCATTATTATCCTCTGGCAACGCTAAGAATTCGTCCGTCATTGTTTTAAGTGCGATAAAATCTCTCCATGGTAGTATTCTTGATGGTGAAATGTTTTTTTATGTCTAGAAGAGGAGTTAGTACCATTTTTTGGTGATGTGTTCTTTACTCCATCTCCTTAAGTCCATCTCCTTCCATCTTATCGATAGGTTTCATGTACCTAAAAAGATAAGCATAAATAAAATAATACTATAAAAAAATATATACAGTATGTCCGTAAAGTAGCGGATATAGGCGATAAAATTGTTATAAACTATTTGTAATTTTGTAACACTTGAGAATCGGAGCTTGTTATAAGAAAACTTTTATAACAAAAATTGTTGCAAATTTTATTGTTAACAATATTGCTCTCTTGCACGTTTGCTCTTAGATGCGTCAATATCGAGATAGATGCGAAAATGTGAAAATTTTATGAATTTGTTGCTATTTCAAGTTATTAAAGGTAACACTTGAGAGTCGGATCTTGCTATGAGAAAACTTTTATAACAAAAATTGTTGCAAATTTTATTGTTAACAATATTGCTCTCTTGCACTTTTGCTCTTAGATACGTCAATATCGAGATAGATACGAAAATATGAAAATTTTATGAATTTGTTGCTCTTTCAAGTTATTAAAGGTAACACTTGAGAATCGGAGCTTGCTATAAGAAAACTTTTATAACAAAAATTGTTGCAAATTTTATTGTTAACAATATTGCTCTCTTGCACTTTTGCTCTTAGATACGTCAATATCGAGATAGATACGAAAATATGAAAATTTTATGAATTTGTTGCTCTTTCAAGTTATTAAAGGTAACACTTGAGAATCGGAGCTTGCTATAAGAAAACTTTTATAACAAAAATTGTTGCAAATTTTATTGTTAACAATATTGCTCTCTTGCACTTTTGCTCTTAGATACGTCAATATCGAGATAGATACGAAAATATGAAAATTTTATGAATTTGTTGCTCTTTCAAGTTATTAAAGGTAACACTTGAGAATCGGAGCTTGCTATAAGAAAACTTTTATAACAAAAATTGTTGCAAATTTTATTGTTAACAATATTGCTCTCTTGCACTTTTGCTCTTAGATACGTCAATATCGAGATAGATACGAAAATATGAAAATTTTATGAATTTGTTGCTCTTTCAAGTTATTAAAGGTAACACTTGAGAATCGGAGCTTGCTATAAGAAAACTTTTATAACAAAAATTGTTGCAAATTTTATTGTTAACAATATTGCTCTCTTGCACTTTTGCTCTTAGATACGTCAATATCGAGATAGATACGAAAATATGAAAATTTTATGAATTTGTTGCTCTTTCAAGTTATTAAAGGTAACACTTGAGAATCGGAGCTTGCTATAAGAAAACTTTTATAACAAAAATTGTTGCAAATTTTATTGTTAACAATATTGCTCTCTTGCACTTTTGCTCTTAGATACGTCAATATCGAGATAGATACGAAAATATGAAAATTTTATGAATTTGTTGCTCTTTCAAGTTATTAAAGGTAACACTTGAGAATCGGAGCTTGCTATAAGAAAACTTTTATAACAAAAATTGTTGCAAATTTTATTGTTAACAATATTGCTCTCTTGCACTTTTGCTCTTAGATGCGTCAATATCGAGATAAATACAAAAATATGAAAATTTTATAAATGTATTGCTTTTACAAATTATTAAAGGTAACACTCGGGAATCGGAGCATGTTATAAAAAAACTGTTAGAACAAAAGTTGTAGCAAATTCTATTGTTAACATTATTGCTTTCTTGTACTTTTGCTATTAGATGCGTCAATATCGTGATAGATACTAAAATATGAAAATTTGATGAATCTGTAACTTTTTGAAGTTATTGAAGCTAATACTCGGGAATCGCAGGGTGTTACAAAAAAACTTTTACGATAAAAGTTGTAGCAAATGTTATTATTAACAATATTGCTCTCTTGCACTTTTGCTCTTAGATGCGTCAATATCTATTTTGACAATATTATATTTTGAACCGTTTTCAAATTAGGCAGGGGGTTTACTTATGACGCTTACTGTATATACCACCGATCTGGCAACGTTGCTCGAGCGTCATTGCCATATCGTTGGTATGTACTTTTATGCAATATAAGTAGGTATTTCCATAAGGTACAATTTAAAAAAAAAATTAGACATAGGAAAAGACGACAAATTTATTACAGTCTTTGACACCTGTAAGGATTCTTTCAAAAAGAAACTAGTTTTGAACATATTTCAGGTATTCCAGACTTTTTATTCATCCTGTATATAAACCTTGATATAGCATAACTAACCGTATAGGCAGCCCAACCAACTTGAAATGTCATTATGAAAGAGATTTTATAACAAATTAATGAGTATGAATAACGTTAACAATATTAACAACTTACAACAACTAACATTTCGAATCATCACATATTCTTATATTTATTAAATTAAGATATGTGTTATTAATAAAAGAATCGAAATTATTTACTTACCTCTAAAAGCTTAAACAAATCCAAATTTTGAACATTTATATTCCAACTTTAACCCATTTAGTAAATAAGAAACGATTGCCAACACAATTATCACCAGAAAACACAAATTTATTAAAACATCATTTACTAAATCAAAACACTTTATTATAAACACCATGTTCGATGGGTTATTATTTAACGATTTAATTTTAACCAAACTGACTTTAACGTGGAAAATATTTAAATCTATTTTTATAATAATAATTTTAGTCACGTTTTTCTTCTAAATTTAGATTTAAACAATAGTATTGAACCAATGCGTGCTAATTTAAGCAATGTGTAAAGTTTTGAAACGAATTGAAATCAAAAACGTTTAATTAAACGATCTCATATATTTTTTTGATTCAAAAAAAAACAATTTAATTAAGGTTAAAATAGGTGTTCGAAGGTCGAAATGATTCCCAACAGACTTATTTCGCACTTTTTCGCGTATTTATCGCACAATTTGTTTTCTAGTCCGTAAAATTCCGCTTTTTCGTAGTCTGTTAATCCTAATTCTGATTTAGATTTTGATGGTCTATTACAAAATTAATTTTAAAGTTGTGTTATTAAAAATAAATCGATACTTACGATAATAAAATGTGAAAAACGTCGGCTAAAACACCAGTATGTTCCATTGAATACTCGGAGGCTTCGCAAATCGCTCGTAAGAGACAATTTTTTCCTGGATATCCATGCCTTTTTTAATTAATTAATTAATTAATCAATTCTTTTTGAATTATGGTTCAACTTACGATTTTAATTTCCTCTCAATCACTCCATAAACGAATTTTCTTGATAAAAAGTTTTCCAAAAAATGATTAGCCCCTTTTCTACTAACATCCGGTGGCCAGGTATAATCAGTTTCGTTTTGTGGCAAGTTGTAATTCCCTTCCATGTTGTAAGAGAAGAAAATTTCATAATTGGGGAGTTCTAAAGGTATTGCAATTGCTAAAATAATCTTTAAAAAAATGTTTTTGTAAATATATCTTAAATTAGAAAACATTTTCTTACCCCAACGAAAGGACCTCCGTAAGGAAATCGAACCGGATTGATAATATTTACGATGTTTTGCCCCAAATTACTTCTTAATAACAATAAAGAAATCAATAAACTTAAATAAATTCGTTGAAACATTTTTGAAAATTATTCTGCAACGATTTAAAAACGATTTTGTGTATTAACGGTGTTTTTAAGTAACTGTACATTTATTTTTAGTTTATTTAAAGAAATAACAGTTAAAAATTAGCGCCTTTTTATCAAGTTAAACGCTAAGTCGATAGATGGCGCTTCAAATTATAAATAATTTAATATTTTTATATTCTAATTTTTCAATTAATTAAAAGGCTTGATACTATGATATTTAATCGAAATTAATTTCTAAATTCGTTTATAAGTAAATCTTCCTTTATTTGTTTTTATTTTTATTAAAATTAAATTAATTCGTTTAATAAAGTTAGCCTTTACGTCAATAGATGGCGCTTTAAACCATAATAAATTAAAATATTGAGTTTGTTCCAATTTCTTAATAATTTCGTTTCATTCAAGGTATTTAAAACTATTTTCTCATTTAATTTTATTAAATCAACACCATTTACTTTTAATTTATATAAAAATTAGCCCCTTTTCTTCAATTAAACGCTATATCAATAGATGGCGCTTCAAATTATAAATAATTTAATATTTTTATGTTCTAATTTTTCAATTAATTAAATGATTTGAAATAATTAAAACTTTTTATACCTTTAATTTTATGAAAGCAACATTATTTTCCTTTCATTTATTTATTTAAACACAAAATTGTTATATTTTAACTTCTTATTCTTGACACATCAAATTTTATTTTTAATTATTATATTTATTGTTTACAATTTATGATATTTAATCGAAATTAATTTCTATATTCGTTTATAAGTAAATCTTCCTTTATTTGTTTATATTTTTATTAAAATTAAATTAATTCGTTTAATAAAGTTAGCCTTTACGTCAATAGATGGCGCTTTAAACCATATTAAATTAAAATTTTGAGTTTGTTCCAATTTCTTAATAATTTGGTTTCATTCAAAGTATTTAAAACTATTTTTCATTTAATTTGATCAAATCAACACCATTTACTTTTAATTTATATAAAAATTAGCCCCTTTTCTTCAGTTAAACGTCAAATCAATAGATGGCGCTTCAAATTATAAATAATTTAATATTTTTATGTTCTAATTTTTCAATTAATTAAAAAACTTGAAATAATTAAAACTTTATACATTTAATTTTATCAAAACAACATTATTTTCTTTTAATTTATTTATTTAAACATAAAATTGTTATATTTTAACTTCTTATCCTTGACACATCAAATTTTATTTTTAATTATTACATTTACTGTTTACAATTTATGATATTTAATCGAAATTAATTTCTAAATTCGTTTATAAGCAAATCTTCCTTTAATTTTTTTTATTTTTATTAAAATTAAATTAATTCGTTAAATAAAATTAGCTTTTACGTCAATAGATGGCGCTTTAAACCATAATAAATTAAAATTTTGAGTTTGTTCCAATTTCTCAAGAATTTCGTTTCAATCGAGGTATTTAAAACTATTTTCTCATTTAATTTGATCAAATCAACACCATTTACTTTTAATTTATATAAAAATTAGCCCATTTTCTTCAATTAAACGTCAAATCAATAGATGGCGCTTCAAATTATAAATAATTTAATATTTTTGTGTTTTAATTTTTCAATTAATTAAAAGACTTGAAATAATTAAAACTTTTTATACGTTTAATTTTATCAAAGTAAAATTATTTTCTTTTAATTTATTTATTTAAACATAGAATTGTTATATTTTAACTTCTTATTCTTGACACATCAAATTTTATTTTTAATTATTATATTTATTGTTTACAGTTTATCATATTTAATCGAAATTAATTTCTAAATTTGTTTATGAGTAAATCTTCCTTTATTTGTTTATATTTTTATTAAAATTAAATTAATTCGTTTAATAAAGTTAGCCTTTACGTCAATAGATGGCGCTTCAAACGATATTAAATTAAAATTTTGAGTTTGTTCCAATTTCTTAAGAATTTCGTTTCATTCAACGTATTTAAAACTATTTTCTCATTTAATTTGATCAAACCAACACCATTTACTTTTAATTTATATAAAAATTAGCCCCTTTTTTTTTCAGTTAAACGTCAAATCAATAGATGGCGCTTCAAATTATAAATAATTTAATATTTTTATGTTCTAATTTTTCAATTAATTAAAAGACTTGAAATAATTAAAACTTTTTATACCTTTAGTTTTATCAAAGCAACATTATTTTCGTTTAATTTATTTATTTAAACATAAAATTGTTATATTTTAACTTCTTATTCTTGACATATCAAATTTTATTTTTAATTATTATATTTATTGTTTACGATTTATGATATTTAATCGAAATTAATTTCTAAATTCGTTTATGAGTAAATCTTCCTTTATTTGCTTTTATTTTTATTAAAATTAAATTAATTCGTTTAATAAAGTTAGCCTTTACGTCAATAGATGGCGCTTTAAATCATAATAAATTAAATAAATTGAAATATTTTTAATTTCTTAAGAATCTCTTTTATCTCATTTAATTTTATCAAATCAACACCATTTACTTTTAATTTATTTATTTAAACGTAAAATTCTGACATGATAACTTATTATTTCTGTCAAATCAAATTTCATTTTTATTATTATATTTATTAATTACATTTACAATATTTAACCCAAATTAAGTTTTAAACTCATTTATAAGTAAATTTTCCTTTAATTTGTTTTTATTTCAATTAAAATTAAATTAATTTATTTAATAAAGTTACGGTTTAAGTCAATAGATGGCGCAAAATTTTTACATTTAATTCTTGTCATTACAAATTTTATTTTTAATTATTATATTTATATCATTTAAATTAACCCAAATTAACTTCTTAATTCGTTTTTAAGTCATTCTACATTAATTGTTATTTTATTTCAATAAATATTAATATAAAATTTATGATTAAGTCAATAGATGGCGCTTTAAACCACAATGAAACACGCGCAATCACTTTTTGACAGATCTTCGTTGTTCAAGTGCAGTTCCAATTCTTCAAGGATTTCGCCCCTTTTTAAGGTAAATAATAACTTTTACTCAATTTATCGTCTTACAACAACTTCATTTAACCTCAATCTATTTGCTTAAATAGCAAAAATCATTTTTTTAATTTATTAACTTAAAAAAAGTAAATATCGGTAATGCAGGTTTTTTATGTGTCACTTTTTTGACATTAATTAAAAATCACGTTATTTTAATAAAATCGTCTTTATTTAACCTTAATCTACTTATTTACATATAAAGTTTTATTCTTAATCCTAATTGGAACACGAGTATAAATTAATCGACGGTAATTAAAGTGTTTTTAACGCAAGCCGGCCCCTTTCCCGGCCAATTACAAGCACTCAGCGTTTGATCGAACGTTAAATGCACGGGACAATCAAAAATATACAATTTAAACCGTTTCTTTTTCGAATCAAAAACGCACGAACAAAATTTCGAACACTCCGTGGGGTGTCTAAACAATCCGGGTCGTTTACAATCAATTCCTTGAAGGGTTTCTTCGTTTGAACGCAATCCACCAGGACCGTAACGATTAAATGGTTTTTGAATAACTTTTTGGTCATCTTCAATTAATTTTTGATTTAATTTTTGCCTAACCATTTTACTCCGTGCAGAAGTAACCTCAAATTTATCATTTTTGACGTTTGAAGTGTCATTTTGATTCAAATTGGGTCTTTTTCGGCGGTTATTTCGATTTAAATTGATTTTGTTGAGATCTAATTGATCCGATTCGAGATTAATTCGATCGTTTTTGTTGGGTTTTGATTTTATTATGATTGGATTTGAAACGCAAGTGCATTGGGCTCCTAATTTTAATGTTAAAATTGGATTAAAATCGTTTGTTGAAGACATCGAATTAGTTTGTGGGTTGTTTTGATTAATTTTGTTAATTCTAGTGATTTTAGTAACTTTTCGGCGATTTCCTTGATTTTGTTCTTTATTTTCATCGATTTCAATAAATTTATCTTGATTTTTTAGCTTTTCTTGATCAATTTCGTAGAATTCAATCACTTTTTTATTCCCTCTTTGATTATTTTTACTTGTTTCGATTAAATATTGCTTAACTTCTTCATTATTTTTATTATAAAAGTCAATTCTATTTGGTTTTGAAGTAGTTTTAACAACTTTTTGATTTTCTTGATTTAATTCTATTTCATCTGGACAATCTTTTACTTTTTCTTTAATTTTGACTACTTTAGTTGGTAAATAATCTTGACTTGGTTCATTTTTAATCAAAATTAATGATTTTTCACTTTCATCATCAAGATTTAATTGAATTTGATTCAATTTTGATTTAGTTTGATCATAATTCGACTCAATTTTGATATTTTTATTTCCAATTTGATATGTTGTTGTTGTAACGAAAGGAATATGAGTAACTGGTTGTAAATAATGAAGTTTTGGAGTTGATGAGATCAAAATTGAAGGATTCTTAACCAAAATAGGATTAATTTGATGATAAAAAGGTTTTTCTGTTATAACAACACGATTTTGATCAACAACTTTTTGATTTTCATAAACTTGACCAACATTTAACTTAGAATTCGTGTCAATTTTGATATTTTTATTCAATTTTTGTCCGAAACTTAATTGATCCGTATTTCCAGTTTGATACGCTGTGGTTTTGACAAAAGGAACTTCTTTAACTGGTTCTAAATTAAAATACTGATCAACATTTGAATGAATTTGACCACCTTCCTTATTTTTGTCAAAATTAACGTCAATTTTGACGTTTTGATTCAATTTTTGCCCGAAACTCGATTCATATCCCAAATATTCATCAATTTTGACATCTTGATTCGAATTTTGATGAAATTCATTAACGTTAGAAGTGATTTGGCCAAAATCATCCTTAATTTTGACGTTTTGATTCGAGTTATAATCAAAACCTTGATTACTGGGTCGACTTTGACCTATATTTAATATTTTTTGATCAACATTTGAAATTACTTGACCAAAATTGAGGTTAGAATGATCAATTTTGAAATTTTGATTCGAATTTTGTTCATAATTTGATTGACCTTGCTCCAAATATTGACCCTGATCGAGATTTGAATGAATTTCCACCGCTTTAGGCTGATTTTGATCATTTACTTTAATGGTTTGACCTAAATTGAGGTTAGAATGATCAATTTTGACGTTTTTATCATCAATATTCGATTGATCTTGTTCAAAATGTTGTCCATGATCGAGATTTGATTGAACTCGCACAAATTGCGGTCGATTTTCAACATTAAAAGTAGTTTGACCTAAATTCAGGTTAGAATGTGAAGTTGCATGAGCAATTTTGACGTTTTGATTCGAATTTTGTTCAAAATTTGATTGGCCTTGGCCTAAATATTGATCTTTGCCGAGATTTGAATGAATTTCTACCGTTTTAGGAGGGTTTTGGTAATTTGCTTCAACATCGACTATGGTTTGATCTAAATTAAGGTTAGAATGGTCAATATTAACATTTTGATCTTCAAAATTCGATTTAATTTCATCAAAACGTTGTCCATGATCTACATTTGTATGAACTTGCACTAATTTCGGTCGATTTTGATTATATTCCTCAACATTAACAACACCTTGACCTAAATTAAGGTTGGATTGATCAATTTTGACATTTTGATCTTCAAAATTCGATTTAACTTGATCAAAACGTTGTCCATGATCTACATTTGAATGAATTTGCACAAATTTCGGTCGATTTTGGTTATATTCCTCAACATTAACAACACCTTGACCTAAATTAAGGTTGGAATGATCAATTTTGACATTTTGATCTTCAAAATTTGATGTAATTTCATCAAAACGTTGTCCATGATCTACATTTGTATGAATTCGCACAAATTTCGGTTGATTTTCATTATAATTCTCAACATTAACAACACCTTGACCTAAATTAAGGTTAGATTGATCAATTTTGACATTTTGATCTTCAAAATTCGATTTAATTTCATCAAAACGTTGTCCATGATCTACATTTGTATGAATTTGCACAAATTTCGGTCTATTTTGGTTATATTCCTCAACATTAACACCACCTTGACCTAAATTAAGGTTGGATTGATCAATTTTGACATTTTGATCTTCAAAATTCGATTTAACTTGATCAAAACGTTGTCCATGATCTAAATTTGTATGAACTTGCACAAATTTCGGACGATTTTGGTTATATTCCTCAACATTAACAACACCTTGACCTAAATTAAGGTTGGAATGATCAATTTTGACATTTTGATCTTCAAAATTCGCTTTAATTTCATCAAAACGTTGTCCATGATCAATATTTGTATGAACTTGCACAAATTTCGGTCGATTTTGGTTATATTCCTCAACATTAACAACACCTTGACCTAAATTAAGGTTGGAATGATCAATTTTGACATTTTGATCTTCAAAATTTGATTTAATTTGATCAAAACGTTGTCCATGATCTAAATTTGTATGAATTTGCACAAATTTCGGTCTATTTTGGTTATATTCCTCAACATTAACAACACCTTGACCTAAATTAAGGTTGGAATGATCAATTTTGACATTTTGATCTTCAAAATTCGATTTAATTTCATCAAAACGTTGTCCATGATCAATATTTGTATGAACTTGCACAAATTTCGGCCTATTTTGGTTATATTCCTCAACATTAACAACACCTTGACCTAAATTAAGGTTAGATTGATCAATTTTGACATTTTGATCTTCAAAATTTGATTTAACTTGATCAAAACGTTGTCCATGATCTACATTTGTATAAACATGCACTAATTTCGGTCGATTTTGCTTATATTCCTCAACATTAACACCACCTTGACCTAAATTAAGGTTAGATTGATCAATTTTGACATTTTGATCTTCAACTTGATCAAAATTTTGTCCATGATCTACATTTATATGAGCTGGCCGATTCTGAACAAAAGTTTGACCTAAATTAAGGTTAGAATTTTCTTCAATATTCGATTGAACTTGATCAAAATGCACCAATTTTTGTCCAAAATCGTGATTCAACTCAATTTGTTGAAGCGTTCCTTGAATTCTTTCATAATCCGCCTTAGTTTTATCTAATATCTTTTCGCCCTCTTCAAATTTAATTTTGGGCTTTTCGTAAAAATATCCTTCACGATGATCATTTTGGGGCGAATCCACGTTGATTTGAAGTTGAGGGATGTTGGCGATGACTCCACCTCGATTCAAATCGACTTTTTCTGGGAGATGAACCGTTTTTACGGTTGGAATAATCGGATGGATCGATTGAATCGGTGAGTTTTGTGGAATTCTTTCTAAGTTGGTTAAAATTGGTTCATTTTTGTACGTTTTAACCGCCGAAAAACCACCGCCGATTATATCAACAGTCTTTCTGGCATTAAATCCGTTTGAAAATCCACCATTAAAGAACCCAAAGTTGTTGTAACTTTGAGATTTTTCTCCTGAATTTAGTTCGAATACATTTCGATTAGAATTTGGGGCTAAATATGGATGACTTGAATAGAAATTTCCTTGATTTTGATTAATTCCTTCAAAGGTTTTACCATATCTGATATCAAGAAGGTTTTTATTTGGACTTGGAATCTCTTGGGTGTCTAAAATAAAAGATTGATCCGTTTTGTCGATATTCAAATTTCCCGCCAAATCATTTTGATTCAAACTTTTATCGGAATTTGATTGATATTCGTTGAGGTTGACGTTTTGATCTAATTTTTGACCAAAATTAACTTCAAAACCATTCGAATTGACCTTAAATTGATTAATGTTGGAATTCAAATTTCCCGCCAAATTAATTCTTTCATTTTGATCAACTTTTTGGCCAAAATTAACCCCAAAAACATCAGTTTTAATGTTTGAGCCATAATTTTGAACATTCCTATCCTCATTTTTGTCAAAATTAACCCCAAAGGTGCCAGAATTAACCTCAAATTGACCAATATTCGAAATTTTCTCATTTTGATCAACTTTTTGACCGAAATTTACCCCAAAACCATCAGTTCTTATGTTTGATCCATAATTTTGAACATTTCTATCGTCATTTTTATCAAAATTAACCCCAAAGGTGCCAGAATTAACCTCAAATTGACCAATATTTGAATTTAAATTAATTTTCTCATTTTGATCAACTTTTTGACCGAAATTAACTCCAAAATCATCAGTTTTAATGTTTGAGCCATAATTTTGAACATTCCTATCATCATTTTTATCAAAATTAACCCCAAAGGCGCCAGAATTAACCTCAAATTGACCAATATTTGAATTTAAATCAATTTTCTCATTTTGATCAACTTTTTGACCGAAATTAACTCCAAAACCATCAGTTTTTATGTTTGAGCCATAATTTTGAACATTCCCATGCTCATTTTTATCAAAATTAACCCCAAAATCGTCAGAATTAACCTCAAATTGAGCAATATTAGTATTCAAATTTCCCGCCAAATTAATTCTTTCATTTTGATCAACTTTTTGGCCAAAATTAATCCCAAAACCATCAGTTTTAATGTTTGAGCCATAATTTTGAACATTCCTATCCTCATTTTTATCAAAATTAATTCCAAATGTGCCAGAATTAACCTCAAATTGACCATTATTCGAAATTTTCTCATTTTGATCAACGTTTTGACCGAAGTTAACTCCAAAACCATCGGTTTTTATGTTTGAGCCATAATTTTGAACATTCCCATGCTCATTTTTATCAAAATTAACCCCAAAATCGTCAGAATTAACCTCAAATTGAGCAATATTAGTATTCAAATTTCCCGCCAAATTAATTCTTTCATTTTGATCAACTTTTTGGCCAAAATTAATCCCAAAACCATCAGTTTTAATGTTTGAGCCATAATTTTGAACATTCCTATCCTCATTTTTATCAAAATTAATTCCAAATGTGCCAGAATTAACCTCAAATTGACCATTATTCGAAATTTTCTCATTTTGATCAACGTTTTGACCGAAGTTAACTCCAAAACCATCGGTTTTTATGTTTGAGCCATAATTTTGAACATTCCCATGCTCATTTTTATCAAAATTAACCCCAAAAGCGCCAGAATTAACCTCAAATTGACCAATATTTGAATTTAAATCAATTTTCTCATTTTGATCAACTTTTTGACCGAAATTAACCCCAAAACCATCAGTTTTTATGTTTGAGCCATAATTTTGAACATTCCCATGCTCATTTTTATCAAAATTAACCCCAAAGGCGCCAGAATTAACTTCAAATTGATCAATATTGGTATTCAAATTTCCCGCCAAATTAATTCTTCCATTTTGATCAACTTTTTGGCCAAAATTAACCCCAAAAGCATCAGTTTTGATGTTTGAGCCATAATTTTGAACATTCCTATTGTCATTTTTATCAAAATTAACCCCAAAAGCGCCAGAATTAACCTCAAATTGACCAATATTCGAATTTTTCTCATTTTGATTGACTTTTTGACCGAAATTAACCCCAAAACCATCAGATTTTATGTTTGAGCCATAATTTTGAACATTCCCATGCTCATTTTTATCAAAATTAACCCCAAAGGTGCCAGAATTAACCTCAAATTGACCAATATTCGAATTTTTCTCATTTTGGTCAACTTTTTGACCGAAATTAACTCCAAAACCATCACTTTTTATGTTTGAGCCATAATTTTGAACATTCCCATGCTCATTTTTATCAAAATTAACCCCAAAGGCGCCAGAATTAACCTCAAATTGAGCAATATTGGTATTCAAATTTCCCGCCAAATTAATTCTTTCATTTTGATCAACTTTTTGGCCAAAATCATCAGTTTTAATGTTTGATCCATAATTTTGAACATTTCTATTCTCATTTTTATCAAAATTAACCCCAAAGGAGCCAGAATTAACCTCAAATTGACCAATATTCGAATTTTTCTCATTTTGATCAACTTTTTGACCGAAATTAACCCCAAAACCATCAGTTTTGATGTTTGATCCATAATTTTGAACATTTCTATCCTCATTTTTATCAAAATTAACCCCAAATGCGCCAGAATTAACCTCAAATTGACCAATATTCGAATTTTTCTCATTTTGATCAACTTTTTGACCGAAATTTACCCCAAAACCATCAGTTTTAATGTTTGAGCCATAATTTTGAACATTCCCATGCTCATTTTTATCAAAATTAACCTCAAATTTACCAAGATTAGAATTCAAATTTCCCGCCAAATTAATTCTTCCATTTTGATCAACTTTTTGACCAAAATTAACCCCAAAACCATCACTTTTGATGTTTGAGCCATAATTTTGAACATTTCCATTCACATTTTTGTCAAAATTAACCCCATAGGTGCCAGAATTAACCCCAAATTGGCCAATGTTTGAATTCAAATTAGTTTTTCCATTTTGATCAAACTTTTGACCCAAATTAACCTCAAAACCATCATTTTTTATGTTTGAGCCATAATTTTGATTCAAATTCAAATTATTTTGATATAAATTTCCCACATTCTTGCTTTGATCATCAAATTCAACCAATTTAACGCTTTTTAAAACACCTAATCCATCATAAGTATTTAACCCGCCATAAATTCCAATTGATTCTTTTGAATTTCCGCCATAAACATCGATATTAATTGATGTTGATTCAAAAGAACATCTCGCAACCATCCAAGGCCACTCGCACATTAACTTTTCTTCGTCGAAAACTAACCCAAACGGGCATCGAAATTCGTACGCGGTTAAATGATCGTCTAATCCGTGATCTAAACACGCATAAAACCATCTGCAATCGCTTAAATCTGCATAAAAACCGACTTCCGATGGACAATTAAATTGTTTTTTTGGCGCGATTTCGCTACTACCATGACACCTGGTGGTGTTTTCAAGATTTAAAGGCCAAGTGCATACCTCGTAACGTTCGTCGAACGTTAAACCGGAAGGGCAAGAAAATTGGAAAATTGTGAACGAATTTTTCGAGGTTGGGTTGTTTTTCGTTGGTTGGTAGAACTGTACGCAGCGATAAAATCGGTTGCAATCTTCAGGGTTTACGAAATAACCTTGATGGGGGCACGGAAGGTTATTATTAACTTCAAAGTTTAAATCGTTTTCTTTATAAACAATTTCGCGCTTTAAACTTTGCAAGATGGCGCCTCTTGGCGCTCGGGGTTGTTTCGACAAACTCCGATAGGTGGCGTCTAAAATTGACGTTTGATTCTGACAGTTTAAGTTTGGTGAGAGGTCTTGTGATAAATCTTTTAGTGCCAAACCGTATAATCCGCGAATTCGGGCGTATTTTGCTTTGATGTCGATGCTGATTGAGTCTTCGAATGAAATCCAATCGGTTTTGCTAAAAAAAAAAAAGAAATTTATTTTGTGATTTTAATCCTTAACCTCAAACATAGGTCAAGCAGACCTACGCTATGCGCAGAGTGTATGCGCATATATACCTTACAGTTTGAATTGACATAGTGTAGTGTGATGTGAGTAGTGTAAAACTAGTTTTATATTTAGCAACTATGGATAAACCAGGTCCTAGCAGATTATAAATTTGAATGATCTAGATTTTGAAAATAAGATACACGAGATGTTGTTGGCTAACGAAAGGAGTGTATATTTATCAGAGGAAGAACGTGATGAAGTAGCAGATGATTCCTACCAAGATTCTGATTATATTTTATATCAGATGATGACTTCTTGGGCATAGAACCCAGATATGATAGGGGAGAGCGGGGCAAGACGGGGTAGAGGGTAAGACGGGGCTTTTGCAATTCCTGCCACGGAAGGTGTAGCAACCTAGTGGAAAATAGTTGACTAGTAGGCCGTTGCTGTGTGAGTGTCGGATAGAGCTGGCAGCCATTTCGAACAAACCATTCGGAGTGTACGCATCAAAACGTGTTTTTCACCTGTGCTGATGTAATTTTTCGTTGTTTTTAGACGTGAAAAGGTAAGTGAAGTAATTTTTTATCGTACTATTAAGTATTATCATCAGATAAAGCGTTTCTTTAGGAATAAATTAACGCATGAAATAACCTAATAGAATAAATCCTTTGTTCTATAATGTTAACCTAACCCAAAAATTGTCCCTGGGGGCAAGACAGGGTTTTCAGTGGGAGGGCAAGATGGGGTACCCCGTCTTGCCTAATATGAAATAGTTATGTGCTATGGCCAACTGGGGCCTTTGAAAGGTGTATTTACCCCAGAAGAAGAACAAGAATTGGTTGATTATATTAAGGTTATGGAAAACCGTTTATTTGGTTTGACTGCTAATGAGGTAAATCGGCTGGCATACCAGTTAGCAGTGAGAAATAACAAGCAGCATAATTTTAACCAGACTAAGGAATCAGCCGGGAAGGATTGGCTTAGAGGATTTTTACAAGGAAACCCAAGTTTATCATTTAGGAAACCTGAGCAAACCTCCGCAGCTAGGGCCATGGCTTTTAACAAAGTTAATGTATCCCAATTCTTTGGTTTATTAGGGGAAGTATATGATCAGCACAAATTTACAGCAGATCGAATCTACAACTGCGATGAAAGTAGGATTTCTGCTGTTTCAAAGAATACTTCCAAAATACTGGCAACAAAAGGGAAGAAACAAGTAGGCTCATTATCATCTGCCGAAAGAGGGAAAACTGTTTCTGTTGAATTCTGCATGAGTGCAGCTGGAGGTTTTATGCCACCCATGTTAGTGTATCCTCGACAGCGAATGAAGCCAGAATTACTGAACAATTGTTCACCTGGAATGTGGGCAGAATGCCATGTCTCTGGCTGGATGCAGAAAGATATTTTTGAGAAATGGTTCGATAAATTTATTGTATTTTCTCAAGCAACCAAGGAGAAACCAGTCCTGCTATTGTTGGATGGTCATTCAACTCATATACAGAGTCTGACCATAATTGATAAAGCAAGGGCTAATGGTGTGGTCATTCTCTGTTTCCCACCTCATTGCACCGACAGGCTTCAGCCTCTAGATGTCTCATTCATGAAGCCTCTTAGCACATACTACGATCAAGAATTGACGAATTGGCTACGATCAAATCCAGGAAAAGTTGTTACCATGTTTCAAATTGCCGAGATTTTGGGCAAAGCCTTTCTCAGGGCTGCAACTATGTTGACGGCGATAAATGGTTTCAAAAAAACCGGAATTTGTTCTTACGAACCAAATATATTCCCAGATTCAGTGTTTGAAGCTTCTATCACAACAGACATTCCTTTAATTACAAGTGAAGCCGCTAACATTATTGTCAATAGTGACCAAGGAAGTGCTTCAAATGGCTCGCGTAAGCAGGTTATACAACAGACAAACGATGGTACTGTTAACCAAGCCGGACCTAAAGAGCAAGATGCGTTTGCTGAACCTGGGTGCTCACATTGGAATAATAGTAACTCCAATAACCACACCACAAACCAACAAGCTCCCAAGAACAACACCTATCAATTAAGATCCTTTGCGGTTTCTCCTGAACAAATTGTTCCTGTTCCTCATTTCGGAAAGAAAAACATCTGGAAATCAGGCCACAAAAAAGGAAAAACTGTTGTTGTAACTAGCTCGCCTTACAAAAAAGAGCTTCTAGACAGTGCAAATAAAGTTACGCCCGATAAAAAGAAGGACCAAGAAGGAAAGCATGCAGAAGGAAAGAATGCAGAAGTGAAGAATGCTTCTAAGAAGAATGTTAAAAAATCTCTGTTTATTCGTAAAGGAAAAAGTGGGAAACATAAAAAAACAATGACTAACCTGCCAAAAAAGTTAAAAAAAGAAAAAAACGAAGAAGGAAGCACGTCAGAAGAGGATGACACTGCGTGTCTGTATTGTGGCCATTTCTATTCTCAGTCTACAGAAGGATGGATGTCATGCGTCTCTTGCAAGAAGTGGGCTCACTGTTCTTGTGCAGGAGAGGAAGACGAGGATGCCGAGGTACACCATATCTGTGAATTTTGCTTACAAAAGGACGATGAGAACTAAATAATAAATCCGTAACTTTTCATATGACACAAACTAAATGTTACTTGCGACTAAAATAATTATCCTTTTGAACATTTTTTTCAAACAATGTCAAGATTTTTTTTAGTTATTGAAATAAAAAAACTTATTTCAAACTTATTTTACGTTTGAAAATGTGTACATAATGTCTTTTTATACGTTATTAAGATAAATCATTTATAAATCTGTAAAAGTAATTTAAAAACCTATGCATTTCCTATTATTGAGCCACCCCATCTTGCCCTTCCTGCGTAGCCCATCTTGCCCTCACTATAGGGTAAGATGGGGTACTTGGAAAACCCTGAAAAAAACTTTTTTTCTATTATATGTACTAATATTTTTTGGTCCTAATTTTTGAAATTAACTTCAGAAACACTGAAGTTTTAATTGTATTACCTCGTATTTCTATTGAGCATTTCTTACGACTACAAAAAATGTTTAAGTGCTTCCCCTACTATTAGGATGAATCTCGAAGCAAATGTTGTAGAAGGAGAAACTGAATCCGACGAAGTCACATATTGTGGCAAAAATGGTTTTCAGTCAACATCAACTGAACCAAGAAGAAACACTGAAACCAGATGACATAATATCATTACAGGCGAGATTTTTAATAAATTAAAAGATGGCAAAATGTATCTTGTTTTATCAAATACATACCAACAATTAGAACTTTTTCCAAGAGCACAAGAATTATTAACTGTTAGCACTCATCAATGGTCCAATCAATATTTCAAGCAATCATGGATAAAGTATTGAAAGATGCAGATAACGCGGTGTGTTATATTGATGATATTTTAATTTGCGGGAAAAGAAACGTAGAAAATGTGTTAAACAACTACATAAAGCTGGATTTAAAGTTCGTTAGTTGAAGGAATAGCAGTTATCATGAAAGCTCTTACACCTCATGATATACACGTTGTGATGAATGCTTCAACGAGAGTAAAAAGATGTTACAAAATTTTGTGGTTCTTACAATTTATGACATGGATAAACCATTAATTTTGACATGTGACGCTTTGACAAGGTATTGAATTGGTGTAGTGTTGGCACAAATGGTGGATGATTTCGAAAAACCAATATATTTTGCATCTAGAACGCTTAATAATTGAATAATTGAAAAGAATTATTCTCAACTGGAAAAGGAGGCTTTAGCTATCATTTTTGCAGTTAGAAAATTTCATTTATATTTGTATGGCAGGAAATTTTTTATAAATTTTGATCAAGTTTAGCTACTGCTAGTATACTAAGGTGGGCATTGATTTTAACAAGTTACGACTTACGACTATGAAATTAAATACAAAAAAGGATCAGAAATCGCCACACATTGAACCAATGTCTAAAGCAGAGATAAATTATTTTTCGACTGTAAATGAATTACCGATATCAGCAGAGGAAATAGAGAAACATACAAAGAAAGACCCAATTCTTTTAAAAGTTTATGACAATGCACTAAATGGCTGGAAAAATTATGCTGACGATGATAAAATAAAACCATATTTTCTTCGACAGTCTGAAATTTCCTTAGACAAGAATTGTTCCGAGTCATTATTCCAGAAAAACTTGGTCCAGGGATATTAAAGATGCTGCACGAACAACATCCTTGTATTGTTCGTTTATGTTTAGTGGCCAAAAATAGATGATGATCTGGAAACATTAATAAGAAGTTGTAACATTTGTCAAATGGCCCAAAATGCAAGTCCTACATTGGAAATAAATTGGTCAAAGACGACTAGGATATTTCAAGAGTTCACATTGATTTTGCGACAAAAAACGGAAATAACTTTTTAATTTTGATCGATTCTTTTCAAAATGTGTCGGAATAACCTTGATGAAGAGGCTACTATAGAGTATCTTCGTTCAGTCTTTGCTAGATATGGTCTTTCTGAGCAATTAGTGTCCGATAATGTACCACAATTGATTTCAATGAAGTTTGAAGACTTTTGTCAACAAAAGGGAATCAAACATATAAAAACATCAGTTAGGCAACATATTGTTTGCTTATCGAAACACTCCACAAACAACAACAGGAAGACCAAGAACAAGACTAGCAATATTAAAAGAAAAATTGGTAAAACAAGAATAAAATATGAACCTGAGGAGTTAGTTTATGTAAAAAGTAAGAGAGGAGAGGAAGAGAAATGGTTGTAAGGAAAAATATTGCATAAACACAGTGAATTGACATATTTTGTTTTAACAAACGGAATAAGAAGTTTAGTTCATGTAGAAAAACTTAAAAAAAAATTTTTGAATATGATATCAAAAATCTTTATAAGGAAAGAACTCCAGTGGAAGTTTCAGTTTTTCATTATATAAATGGAGGGTGCATGCGTGAATCCGATGCATCCGATTCAAAACTAAAATTCAAGACG